CCAAGAACCAATGCACAATTGCTAGAGAATATTTTACGTTTAAATGGCAAGCACATCACCATCACAATTTACCAATAGCTTTAAAATGAGCAATCCAATAGCTGTGGTGAAACTGTGTTGTAATGTATTCATTTCACTATGATAAAAAGTCATTTTTAAAAATCTCTCATTTCTCACTCAGGACCAAGCAATGTTTTCCAGTAAATGATCTTCCCCATCTAAGAGCCCGGCAGCACCTCTCAGACAACGTTCTGCGGGCTTTAATTAAGCATTTTACAAAAGCTATTTTCCAGTACTGCCAATAAAATGTCTGGGCTATTTTTACATCGTCTTAAAAGCACTAAAAAGGTGCTAAACCAAATGAATTTAATTTTAAACAAGGATTTTTATGTCCTAAGGAGAGGATTTGATTTTCAAGGCTTCTAAAAACTACTTGCCTGACTGCCAAAAGCAAGTTTACTTTTTAAACAAATAAACAGCATCTATGTGTACAGCACTTTTTCTTCCACCTGTCTTACTTTATTCTGTTTTACCCACTGTGATGGTATAGATTACAGTATGAGATTTTATATATAAGGAAGAAATTAAGTTAAAAGACTTCTTGCTGTACCTTGCAGATACCACAGGATTATCACACTGTGTTTGGGGATGAAGATTAGTTAACTTCTCTCCCATTCAATTCCAGCACAGGTGAAATTCATTTGTTCTATGAGCCACACAAACAGATCACCGGAATGAAAATTCCCCAAACCCTGGTAGATGATCCATAAATGCTCTGAATGAGTTCCTTACTTACAACAACATATGCTATTATCAAATGCAAGGACACTTTTGTCTTACTTCTTTCCCAAATTTGGCTATATAATAATCTTTTATTAATGTGTTGTTGTTAATAAGGTAAAAAACCCAACAGATTAATCAGATGAATAAAAGGTGTGCTGGGTGGAGAACTAGACTTGAAATCAGATGTACAGGTGTGATTTTCAGCTCTGCTACTTACCTTTTTGACCCCAGGCAAAATTCGTAACACCAATTTTAGTTCCTCACCTGCTAACTTGGGTCAGTACCTACCATCCAAAAGTAAAATAATCAATGTGAAGGTGCTTTGCAAATTATAAAGCAGTATGCAACTGGTAACCATTCCCTCATTCAACAAGTTATCAATTTAACAGTCCCTTTTAAATCACACACACTATTACTTATTTCTCCTTACACAGGCTACCTGCATCTATTCCAACACAGAATTTTGGGCAGGGGGGCTACTCTTAAGAGTTGGCTCCTATAACAGCTTCTGACAATTTCTCTAAAATATCTGGGTCCATGTTTGGTGATTACAGAGAGGAAAAGGCAGCAAGAGATTTTTATGCACGTGTGACATTCTCGTGTGGCTGCATTCAAGTTTCAGTCCTTGTTTAAAGCAGATGTTTTGCTAGTGGCTGGGATTTTTACCCTGAGAGCATCACTCTTACAATAGAATGAATGCAAATGGATAATGATTGCAAACAAATTTAGTTAACTTTAATTGAGTGAGGTCTCTTCTGTAATTGTTATGGGTCAAATGCCTCATTACTCCAAACAAGTGTGCAATTTTGAAGAGTTGAATGTTGCCTAAAATAAATGATCCATCAAAGGAAATCATTGCTATACAGAGATTTTATTCTAATGATTTATAATAAATAAGTTCAATACAATGAAAATAATTTGTTATCAACACCTATAATTTATACTAACAGGATCTGGCAGTAGCACACTGACAAGAAGCTTTATACAATACACCCTTCATGTTAATAACAGTGTCTACAATTTCAAAAGTTAATTACTACCTTTTTTTTTATTTGCTTTTCAATACCAAATGCTATCATGACATCACTAATTTGGCTGACCAGTTCTCTCACCTTGTCTAGAGCTGCTCTTTCCCTACTGAAGAGAAAAAAAAAGTGAATTTTTCACCTCAAGTTGTTTCCAACTATGAATTGACATTAGATAAAAAAGCAAAACAAAAGTACAAACATGGGTCAAAAGTCACACTAAACCATATAAGGAACTACAGCCTCCTAAAATCTAATGCCTGTAACTCATGTCTTCAAAATGTGAAGACTCAGACATTCAATTAAGGTTTCTAAATTATTTCATTTATAAAAAGGTCAAGTCCAGGTTATATTTCTGAATGTTTCCTTCTAATTGACTTAAACAAATGCCCTTAAAGTACTTACTTACATGCAATGTGGGTGCAGGTAAATGAGATTATATATTAATTTTATGCTGCATGGAAAAAGTTGTTTCACTGCCTTACAGTCTCATGTCTCTTTAAATTATAAACAGATCCCAACTATAAACACCCCCATTAAGAACAGACCGTGCAAACCATTTTAAAAGAAAGTAAAGACTAATTGAAAAGTGGGACTTAGTAGGATTTTGAGGACAGAGAACTTTAATTTAGCTTTGTGATTCTTAATGTAATAACAGTAACAATAACAACAAGGGCTCTATGATACTATGCATCGGGCATTGTTATATGCATTTTCCGTAAATTAAAATGACCTTTCCAGATACCTCACTTGTAATAAAGATTGCCTGTTTGTCCCTTTATCAAAGCACTTTTTTGTGTTTGCTAAAATGTTTTTTCCCCTCTTTCTAATAGTAGATAAGAAGATGAAGAGAGATAGCAGATGGAGAGAAATGATTCTATAGTTTTGTAGTAAAACAAACAAAAAAACTTGACCAGAATCATCCAGCTAGCCTGCTCTTAGCACTTCATGGACAACAACAGTTTACCACATCAATTTACAATAACAGTAACCAAATGCATTTCCTACAATGAGTTGTGTCACCACCACCTCCCTCCAATTCCTTCTATGCCTTAGGAATTATGTGCCTCAATCACCTCAGGGCCAATCTTTTTTTTTTTTTTTTTTTGACAAGAAACTAAATCATCAATTTAAACTGCTAAAACTTCACCATCAGTGTTAATCCAATAACACCATAAAAAACCTTACATTTGTAAAGTGCTTGAACATTCCAAAGTACTTCAACATACAGGCTCTTACTTCAACCTCCCTGTGAGATTACAGCTGTAGCCACTTAGAGCTAGGACTTTCCTCAATAAACAATACATTTCGAGAGCATTAAATCTCAAAAGTAGCTACAAAGTCCTTTGAAGTTATTTCTAAATCAGTCATTTATTGAATCGTGATAATCCTTTGGGAAGTCAGGGTTCATTTCAGGAACAAGAATATTTCACTATTTTTATCTTTGCCTAAACAAACAGTTTTGTCAAAAGCATGAAAACTGGTCAGTCCTTTTCACAGTGCCACAGGGCCACAGGCAGCTCTATATCACATACATCAATATAAACACTGTCTTCAGCAGTTAGGCTCAAACAATAGCTTGAGACCACTTTTCACATGTACTTTATAGACTAAAATAGCTATGTTCCTGAAAAGCTAATTAGGATGTAAATTCTTGGAAATGAAATGATGTATGGTTATTATGGTAGCAGTGGTGGTCATTGGTGTGTGTGTGTGTTTGGGAGGGGGAGCTCACAATTTAAAGGAGCCCTGAACTGAATCCTTTGGCAAGCCAAAGCATCCTTTTGTCAGTTTAATGATCACTCTTTAACGTGTCTGTGCTGCAGTAAGTTTTTGCATGGCAAGTTTTCCATAGCAGGGGAGAAAGGGGAGGGGCTACACCTGACTAAATAGGGAGCTTGTGAGGTGACTGTTGTGATCAGTCCCAGACTTGTTCTGCCTGATCAAGCACAGTGGGCAGAGATCCAATCACAAAAGCATTCCACAAAGCAAGCAAAGCAAAAATCTTCACTAAACTGACTACTGGAATGAAAACTGCTAGGGTCCATCCCTTCCCTACACTGGGAAAGCAGCATTTTCTACTAAGAGAGAAGGCAGTTGAGACTATGGAGACATCAGCCTCCACAGTCATTTTCTCAGAATGTCTCAAGACACGCTGATGACAACCTTGCACAATATATATAATAAATTCATTCTAAGTCTCATTTCCAAGTCTGACAGTCCTTTCGCTCTGTTTTCTTTCTTCCTTTGGAAAAGTAACTATTAAAAAAAATGTGCAGGATAGGATGCCCCAGGGGTCAGGTCCTCCTGTTATCTTGCTTTACTTGACTTCCCAGAAGACATGCCAATTAATGTTTTAAATACTTGGAAACCTTTCCAACAACAGTCATATCCATTATCACCTTGTCACCACACCCTCTTTTGGATGGAGGTCAAATGAAGAAAATGAAGCCCAGTAAAGGTGCATTGCCTGTCTCTGCTAGTGACAGGGAAAAAAAACTCAGGGTTTCTAGCCATATATCCTGTCTCAAAACAAACCAAACCAACACAAAAGCACATTCCACAGCTAAACACTCTTCTTTTAATCACCTGCTTTTTTGCAATTATTTATGTTTTGGTCTTCCTCCAGACATTCAAGCTAACCTTCTTGGTAAATCACAGTACACTAGCATGACGACTGCTTAAAAAAAAAAACTTGGAGAAAGATTCCCTCTCCAAACATTAACCCTTGGTTCTTACTGCTTAATATTCCGTGCTCTTATTAAATCCCTCCACCTACTTAATTATGAGCAGATAGAGAAAAGCAGATTGTAAATGCCAATATGAAAATGAGTTGATGAGACTCAATTGAAGATGTCCTGCTCTGCATAATCATTTAGTGATCAGGAAGGCTATCTGACACCACCCGCATGCTTTATGTCCTTAAATAGTGCTGTTGTAGGGTCCGACTCACAGCGACCCTAAGTATAACAGTAGAACCAAAATTTGAATCATAATCGTTTCTTTCCCAGAGAAAAGAACCTTACAATTGGATTAAAACTTACCACATGAATAATTATAACATTCTACCCCATGTCTAGGAGTACACCAGTCAATGAAATATTAATTCACTTATTCCTACCTACCACTGTTGGCACAGTACCACATGGATTCATTAAATGTTCATTAACTTTAAAGAAATGAATTCTAAAATTACCAACCTCTTCTGGGAGAGTCGAACTTCTGGTTGTCAGGTCTGGCAAAGTCCATTCTCACGTAAATGTCGTCCTCATCGTCTTCAGAATCTTCTCGCTGCGGGGGTCTTGGCACTGGACGACGGCGAGGTGGTGGCAGGGGAGCGGCAGCACCTCTAACCTCGTTCTCACCTCTGGCAGGGTCCGCAGATGGGTTGGGGGCTTCGGGATTGGAGCCATCGGCGATGTTTTGCAACCCCCTTCCTGCTTCAGCAGCGGCGGCGGCGGCGGCGGCGGCGGCGGCGGCGGCGGCGGCATTAGCAACAGGTAGAAACCAGCGGACGGAGGCGGAGTCAAATCCAGCAGCGGCTTCGAAGCGGGCCGCTGCAGCTCCGATGCCTGGGGCAGCAGCCAGGGCGGAGGCCGAGGCTAAAGCCCGACCTACCACTAAGGTTGGGGCCACGGCTGCTTCGGCGGCGGCCGGGGCTGAAAAGAGAGAAAGATTTCTCTCGAGGACGTCAGTTGGAAAGGCGGAGACAGCGGCTCTGGCGGCTGCAAAGAAACTTTGCGATTGCCTTGGGGAGCGTCTTCTCTCTTGCTCCTCTTCCTGTAGCAACCTAGCTACAGGTGGTGGTTCAGAGCATCGGGTGGGGGAGAGAGAAATGTCCATACAGCACTCAGAAAATGGGTCGACCACGTAGATTCGACCTGTTTCAGCATCATAGCGAATGGCACTGTCAGCAAAAGGCACTGCTGGTGTCATTGCTGGGTTGAAAATCACTTCAATGTACTCATCCTCTTCCTCATTAGCGTTGCCACCTGTAGCACTGGGAGGAAGAGGAAAAAGTGGCCACCTAGCACCGACCAGAGATGGGGGATTGGCACCTGGAACAATTACAAGATTCGAGAGGTCGTTTGCTGGATTTAGAAATGGCACTCTGAACTGAACATTCACATAAGGAGAAAAGGCTGACTGTCTGGGGTCAGCCATTATGCCCCATGAATCTGGCAGTCCTTGAGTAGAGGGAAGTGGTATATTGCCCCCTCTCTTAGTGAAGTCCATGTTGATGTAGTCACTAGAGCGGTCAGCTTCTCTCTGCTCATATCTGGGCTTTTGTGGGTTTGGCTTGATTTTATTTCCTTTTGTAATGAAAAAAAGTCTGTTAGGTCTCTTTGCCTTGTTCTTTGGGGGCCTGTCATCATCTGTGGGCTTTGAGGGGGACCTCCCATTTCCAGGCTTGGAGAAAGACCCCTGGACTGAAGGCTTTGAAGGTGCATTTTTGGGGCCCCAGTTAGATGAGGCTTCTTTGTCTGGGCCCCTCCCCAGGAACTTTCCAGGTAACATTGGGACATACTCACTGTGCTCACTCTGTCCCAAGGGGGAGCTCCGAAAAGGGTTTGGCAGAGAAAAGTAGGAGCTCCAACTTTTGGAGGAAGAGCCGCCCTGAGGATTTCTGGGGTTTTTTGGAATTGCACCAGCTCCAGGAGCCATAAACATGTAGTCACTGTCACTATCATTGTCCTTGGAGTCATCCTCTTTATCAGGATCAGGTGTTTTGGGGGGACTTGGTGCAGGTGGTGGGCTGACTCTGGGAAACATCATCATGTACCCTCTTGAATCTTCAAAAGGTGATCGAGAGTGACGCTTATTGGAGGCAGAGACATTTTGAGGAGCCATTGGCATATAATCGCTGGAGCTTGCGAGTGGAGCAGCAACCCCTGGTCTCATTGGCACGTATGGGTCATCTTCATCTTCGTCAAAAGCTCTGGCTCTGTGGGGACACCAAGCTGCACCCTCTGGGGCCTCTGCCTCTTTAACATCCTTCGACTCTTTGCGCTCTTTTGTCACTCCTCTGTCAGCACAAAAATAAAGTCGGAACCTGCCCCCAGATTTCACTTTACCACTAGTTGCTCCAGGTGGAGGGGGTGGAGGTGGGGGGGGTGGCATCTGCTGTTGCTTGCTCTGGGTTAATTTGCCAAAGCAGGATCTTTTCTTCAGAGATTTTCCACGTTCATCACTGCCATCTGAGCCTTTCTCACTTCCCGAGCCCTTGCCCCCTCCAGAGTCCTTGCCACCACCTGAGCCATGGCCACCTCCAGACCCCTGGCCACCGCCTGAGCCCTGGCCACCTCCAGCCCCCTGGCCACTGCCTGAGCCCTGGCCACTTCCTGAGCCCTGGTTTCCTCCTGCACCCTGGCCACCACTTGAGCTCTGGCCCCCTCCAGAGCCCTGTCCCCCACCGGAGTACTGGCTTCCTCCCGAGCCCTGGCTACTGGAGCCCTGGCCACTTGAGCCCTGACCACCTCCTGAGCCCCGGCCATTTCCTGAGCCCCAATTGTTCATGGGCATGTAGTCCCCTCCATTTCCTTCCTGACTATCATTGCCCCGAGGACTGCCTTCCTCCCCAGAGTTACCAGAACCAGATGCTTCAGAAGACAGGCAAGCTCCATCTTTGGGGGCTTCTGCGGGGGCAAGCATGGGGTTGGGTGCTAAGTAACGAAAACAGCTGGCTGGCACCGACATCGCTCTCCTGGACCTACGCATCCTGGGCAGGTGGTGTCTTCCTCGCCTGGAAAGGGGTAGAGGTTCGCTGGCGGATACGAAGCGCCTGGTGAGAAGCATCTCGTGTTCCTCATCACCGAGGGCCCCCGGGTGGCAAAACTCAAAGCGGGACCTTCTGAGCCAGCCGCCCGGCTGGAAGGGTAGCAAGTCCAGGTGCCTCCTAGCGGACAGCAGAGTTAACAGGTGGGTGCCGTCGTTGATGTTGTAGCTGCGGCAGCGGGCTCTATATTCATCTGCACACAAGGCCCTCATCTTCTCCAAAAACAGTTCATGCATGTTTTGGGCTACCACACAGTCATCAACCTGCATCCACAGCTCCCCCGGACCGATGACGGTGGACCTGCCGACTTCCAAAAAGAAATACTGCTCCGAGTGCCCGCAGCGACGGATGCTCAGGAGCTGCACGACCACGCTGGCTACTTCGGTGTTTAGCCTCACAAACACGACCTCCTCGTCGGTCAGGCAAAGCCGGAACACGCCGCTCAGCTCCTTTCTGTGCCCCAGCCCCCTGGGTTTGACTACTACCTGCCACACATCTTTGTAGAAAGGTGGCTCCGCCGCCGCTGCCGCCGCCAGCGCGGCCCCCTCTCGGTCGGGCTGCGCGCCGGGCGTGCCGCAGCGGCGGCGCTTGCTCTCGAGGATGAGGCGGCTGAGCAGCAAGTACCAGCTTTCCTGCTCCGACTCGTTCTCGGCCACCATGGCGAAGTACTCGTCCTGTGTGAAAAGAGCAATGAGGTGTCTATACCTTGCGTCGGCTCGTTGGCTCACGGAGAAGCACTGGTACAGAGTGATCACGCGTCGCGGCGGGATGAGCGCGGGCACCGCGGCGCCGGAGGCTGCAGCTGCAGCTGCAGCGGCTGCGGCGCGGACACTGTGCCGGAACTTCCTGGCGTTTTCGTAGTATTCCAGCCGAGCCGGGGCGTCGGCGGTCTCGACTTTAAGCACGAAGTAGCGCCTGTGCCCATGCTTCTGCTTCCGCAGGTAGCCGCGTTTGCAGACTTCGTCGCCGACGGGGAGGTCCTCCTCCTCCGACTCCGAGTCTGACCGGGAGCCAGTGGCCGCGGAGAGCCACATGGCTCCCGGACAAGACGACCCGGTCCCAATGAGTGCGGTAGGAGTGCCCGAGGAAAGAAGCCGGGTGGGGTGGTCGCCGCCGCTGGTGGAGCTGCCGCTGCTGCAGCTCTCAGACTCCTAGTCGCTTGGTCGCGAGCAGAGGAGCAACTGGCCTTGGTGATGCACGTTGGTTTTAAGGTGA